AAAAAATAAAAGAGGACTCAAATAATATTCACACTACTAAGCAGCAATGTCAGTTCCAGTAAAACAACATGCAGCATCAGAAATATAGCAAGCAATGGGATATCTAATTTAGCAGGAAAAAGCACAGCAATGTAGCAATTACTAACAGTAGAGAAGCCAAGCTAGCTGGACCTGAAAAAATAAGTATCTTTTCATTATGGGCATAATCTATACTTACCTCCAGCAGGAAGCACAGTATCACTATCAGTAGTATCACCAGTGGTAGTATTTAAAGAAAATGTGTTGTTGCTATCAACTCCAATGATAGACAAGTAGAGATTGATAGCTGTGGTATTATTGGGTGCTTGTCTCTTTCGACGCTGTTGACTATCATTGTTGACAGTAGTTGAACTCTCAAACAATTGTGAACTAACAAAATAGTCAATGTCAGATCCATCACTTGTGACAACAAAATCTTGTGTTAGTTCTGTTGGATTTGGCACCGTAAAAGATCCACGCACAATCACATTCCCAATATCTACATTAATTTTTATCGTCATTCCTAAATGCTGAGGGAAGAAAAATTTAATCAAACGGAATAGTCCTCGTTCAACAGTCCCTTCAATTGTTCTACCAACACTTAAAAGGGTTTGAGCTATAGATAAAACAATATAAATGAGAATATTATACGGGAATAGCTAACTTACTTATGCATGTTGTAGTACGCAGTGGTAGAAGGGCAGTTTGAAAATCAGTGGAGGAAAAACTGTCTATGTAAAAGACATAATCTGGACCAGTAGCAATGTAATTTAATTCATCGGAATTGATGCCACTACCAATACCAAAGGAATATGTATATATCCCAGCATTATGAACAGCTCGGGAAGCTGCTAATGTTAGACTAGGGCTATGTGACACTCCATCTGTAAAAACAATGGCAACACGAGGTACTCCCTCATCAATGCGTGTTGTAGCAAATGCTGATGTTAAGAGTGTAAGAGCTTCATCTGTGTAAGTACCACCTCCAGTATATGAAATGCTACTGATATGAGAAGATAATTCAGGATAGGAACCAGAACTGCCTAAAGGAATAACAATTGATGCTGAAGAAGAATAACGAATAACTCCAACACGAGTTTTGTCTGGTCCAATTGTAAATATAGATAACATATTTATTATGAAGTTTCTCAATCTCACAAAATTGGTAGATCCAATGCTTCCAGATGAATCAAGTACAAGAATCATGTCTAATCCAGCTGTATCACAATCTATAATAATAAATAATTTATTAATGTATTATACTAATTGTTTTTACTTAAAAAGTCAAATATAGCTTGGATCAGAGCCCGTGTAACAACATTTGTGATTTTTGTAATATAAGTTCGTACAGCAGTCAGAAACTGAGTTGCAATTGTGCTAGTACAGAGCTGGGATGTTGTAATGAGCTAAAAAACAAAATTGGGAATAAAAATTATAGTACCGGTATATTTTTATTTAAATGTCACCTGCTGTATTGCAAACTTATTTAGAAAATCAGTCCATATAAAGACTTCAGATGCCAGACAATCAATGTTTTGAAAGTTTGGCGATATAAGTATATCTGTACAAAACCCATTGTCAACATAGCATTTAGGATGACTATCAAATGCAAATTTCTTCAGTTGATCACAAGTAGTATTTGTGCTATTGTAAAAGTTACTCTCAACAATAGCACGCATCAGACATCTACGAACATTCCTGATCCACGTTTGTCCCTATTATATATATAGAATCTATACAATCATTTTAATCATGTACGAGCTAACAATACTCATGCAGTAGGCAATATCAAATGATATCAAACACATATATACCCATGATACCGACCGTCATACCTTTCCTGTAAAGCAATTCTTTTTACTTTCAAATCGCTCACAGTATCTTTTGCCATAAGCGATAGGATAATCAGTATCAGTACACTGAAACCTGGTATTCAAACAATCGTAAAAGCCACAGTCTCCGTTAGAAGC